TCAAACTGGCAATTAGTATAAAAGGAAGGGAGAAGTGGCTAGGACCACATTTCTTCTCTTTTCTGCACTATCATTCCTCCTCCCTCATTTTCTCTCCTACGGATTTCTTCACAAGTTCGGAACCCTGATAGAAAATATCTTTTACTGAAATTGTTCATGTATCTTACTGCAATTTATATTTTTTCCAGATTTTGTGGATCACGATCGTTCGATGAGCTAGCACTACTCTTATGGTTCTTGAAACTGATGGATTAGCGATAGATGTTCGTCGTAAAAATAGAAACAGACGAGCATCTGGCGACTGCAAGTAGATCGAGCCAAATACGGTACCAGTGCACTGCCAGACGACTTTAGGTCGGAACAAACTTTATTTCACACTTTTTTCTTTAGCAGAATCTAAAAAATAGAAAATTGATTCAAGCATTCATTCCAAACTTTTTACATCCTTTATAGGGAGGTCGGATTGTCAAATCTTCAAAAGTTTTTTGTTCGATGACTGCGGTAAACTATCATCTTTTTCTGATGACCCTATTCAATAAGTTACCGTAAAATCGTTCTAAACAAAAGATTTTAGCTATTCAAGAACTCAATCCACAAATCGCATCACTTGGGTAAAATCTTTCACGGAATGGGAGCAGATATTGGAAGTTCGGCAATAAAACGGCTTAGAGAGCGTTGCCTGGAAGAAATGGTAAGAATTGACGGTGTATATCTCAAACCTCAAAGTGTCTACAAGCGGTTTCAGATTATGGAGTGAGACGATCATTTTCTGGTTGAAAGGCAATGAACTGAATCACTTGCAAGGCACAGACAGCATAACTGCCTACTACTTGCAGTCGCCAGATGACTTTAAGAAATCACCATGTCCGGTACCGAGCTGCTCAGTTCTGTGAATTTCTATCTCTAATCAATCTACACTCCAATTCTTTGCCCTTACTTCTCTTTTCTTCTGCCTGAAGTCTTTCAAATGCTGACAGAACTAACTTTTTTTGTATCCATATTCTTCATTAACTGATTAGATAATTGTATGCAATGATACTCCTCTCCTTTCAGGGGCTAGGAAAACTTATCATACATTAACTTTTCACATGTCTCAAATTTTCGCTTCTTCCTATTTGCTGTGAATTTGTTGCATGATCTATTTGAATTTGAATGATCTATTTGAGTATCATGGTATATATTCAACTACTAATTGCTTTAAGTTTTCTATTTTGCAATTACCTATGATATATATATTGAACTAACTTAAATTGTATCATTGATATCTCAAAATAACTGCATGATAATATTGTATTATTACTAACACTATTTCAGTTGAACTATTGCCTTATCAATACATTTTCTGCATGCTCTATATTAATATTTGAACTATTATTGTTACTTGTCATTGATCTATATCACATTATCTACACTATAATTGTCTATATGAAATTACTTCCTATATTGATGTTAACCATGTGAATGGCTAACTATGATTATTATTATTGATTCGGATATTGGATTAACATATTGGATTAATAAGCATGTTGATTCTGCATGACCTCTACGAATATATTGTAATATAATTTATGATTGATTGCATGACCTAAAAAATATTTTTGAATTATTATAACTATGGATATACTGAATCACTATGTAGTTACTATGCTGAATATCGCGTGATCTCTGCAACTGACAGCTGTTATTGTTATTACTATTTATCGCTATGTCTATATGTAATTACCTATTGCCTTGGTTACCTTATTTGGGTTGGTTTGGCAAAAATGCTATCGCCTCCTCTTATTATTCGTTATTCTCGAATATAGTGGCTATCATATGGCACCTGTCTTCACCCTGCTCTTTATCTCGTGATATTCTTGTTTATTTTGCATGCTCCTTGGCACTTAGTGTTCTATAATGAATATTTTATTTGGTTATATCTATTGTGGATACAAGCCTGACTGTATCTCCACTTATTTGCCTATTTGACTATGATACTATTATTCAAAAGTTCTCTGAGGGAACTGACTTTATGATAGATATTTTGCATGTGCTATATTGGTTCTTATTACTGGTTCCTTCGCACCCAGTTTCGTGATTATATTTAGATGAATATATCAAATATTATATTTATTCTCATGCCACTTATTGTCGTCCATATATGTCGAATGACTGCTACTATTATTATTCTGATATTCTATATTATCTAAGCACGCCTTGTGTGGACGCTGTATGTTTTTCACTCTGTACCATCTACAGTAGTAATTTATGCATGTTGATCATTTTTATTTCTCAGTTGATTGCAGCTTGATTTGAATTATTCACCATTATAATTTATGTTAAGCTTGCATGAATAAAAAATGAATGAATTTTCATCTTTCGTCAAAAAAAAAAGACTGACTGCTTAGTTGACAAAGAACTACTGAATGCAGGTTTGCAGATTAATTGATAGACTCGCAAAAAATGTTGTCAGTGAATTGACACCAAAAATTTGGTTCTTCCATCAAATCTTTTAATTCTGTCAAATGTGATAGAGAGATGCAAATATCTGCGAGTCTGACAGAGCACAAATCCATAAAGATAGGAACAACTTGTCCCCACATCCGAAATTTTAGAGGCTACGTGCTAAAAAAAAGATTACATTGAATAATCGAGGCTCACTTAGGATGATGCTTGAACACTAATAAACGAGATCTCACTTCGTATCATCAATTCTCTCCCAATCACAACGCAGAAACTCGACAAAAAGCCAAATATTCAGAATACATTTACATTTGTGTAAAACTGCTGACGTTAGCTTGGGGGTCGGCTAAAGTATGAAAAGCATAAATCTCGTAAAAAGAAAAAATAAAGTCTTGCACAAAATGAAATGAGCTCCTTCCGGGCAAATGACTTTTTCCTAAAATTTTTTCATCAATTTTTTTTACCACTGTGAAGCTTCGTACACGACATCGCGTTTATCTAGAGACTTTTACAGCGGAACCGACTGTAGTATAAGTGCATATAGTATAGCATCGTCATTCCATTCCTATTTTTTATCGTCATTCCCCCATTCGTTATGACTATTCGTTCTTGACCTCATAAGAGCCACGATGCTGCTTGCAATGTGAATTTATACTTACAGAATGCTCAAATTATTAGTTAGCTAAGACATGCTTAAAGGCAGCACCCAGATTTCGCCTTCGATGTTTTTGCCATTCTAGGGCCTTTCCGTGCCCCTGATTTTAGTTATGACATTAAAATCCTCCAGAGGTCCCAAAAAATGCCGGTCCTCTCCGCGTAGAAGCAACTTGGGAGACCAAAACAACGCAGTTGGTCTTTCTCTTGGACCTAGATATACACGGTATAGAGAACTGGGTAACTTAGATTTTGGGTGTACTCTGCCTTTGGCCCCAAATTCTGCAAGAATGCTAGAGCAAAAAAAGTTATCTGTTTCTCTTATGCACGGTTCAACACATTTTCCAATGGATCTTATACCCTCAAAAAAGTTTAAAAAATGTTGATCTCCCGTGTCACTTACACTTTGAAAAAAGATATACGTCGCTGTCCCGAAATATTGTACATGGTTGAAACAAACCAACTTCTAGTATAGTTCTCGTGGAATATTGAAGTACAGTGGAAAATTATTATTGTATCAAAACGAGAAGAGCCCAAGGGGTAATGAAACATTAATAAGAAATCCGAAAGATGGCCGAAATATGAGTTTTTGGAAAGTCCTGAGAATGCAGTGGTTTCTTTGCGGTTTTTTCGTAACAAAATTCAGCCAAAACTATTTACTTGCAAGTTATTTTTGCTTTCTTGGTTTTCTGAATTTTTTTTGAGTCTTTTCGAAAAGACCAACATACATCTTGCAAATCATTAGAGATTTTGGGGTGCCGACAGTTCCTCTGGGATAATACGCTGTAACTTTTTTACACCAGATTTACGCGGTTCACTTGATGTTATCTATTTTCAATTTGATAATTCTCGCACCGTTTTTGCAAGCTTTCATAATACATTCAAACTGCTCTAGAACAATTCAACAGCTTAAATTATTTACTGCATTTAGAAAAGAACTGAAACTAGCAGCAGTTTGGCTGCAGGATGACCAGAATAGGATTTAACAATGCATGAGAAAGCAGGTGCTGATGCATCAGTAGTTCTTCTAGACAAAATCACAATAATAACTGAAATGCATGTTCGTGATTTTCACAGTTCGAGCTGGTGTAGCCTAGATTCGAATTGTCAAAGACAAGCGGAGAAAGCACAGAGAGTACCATCGTACGATTTTGAGTCAGATACGCACCAAAAGGATAGAGAAATTCATAAACTCAAGCTATGGCGACAATCAGTCATCTTCATGCATAACAAAATTAAATAGATATGTTGGTCGAAAAATTGGTAAGCACTAAGAAATAAATAAAAAATAAATAACGGACAAACATAGATTATTATGAATAATTCGGTAAGATAATGCAAGAACAACAAGTGGTAAAAACAAAAAATGCAGAAAATGAACGCTACTCCCAAGTATAAGCCCTCAAAATCCACTTATAGGCTGCTGCATGACGAAGGCGCAATATCTTTCGGCGCGACGCGGCTTAATTAGCCGCAGAGCGCACATGGCGCAGGTTCTACAACGGTGAAGATACGCGCTCGCGCCGCGTTTGCGCCCGCTGGACTAATACTGCTTTTGCGCCTTCGTCATGCAGCAGCCTTTATATTTGCGTAAGGAGCTGCTACCAGATCTCCAGTTTCGTGCCAGTGCCGTGCCAGCTGTGCCACCTCCTCTGTGGACGCGCATTTGGTGATCGATCGGCGGCGCTGGCACAGCGCGAAGACAAGAAGCTTTGGGTAACACAGCCTAATAAGGGGTCACTTAACATGCTGATGTCATTTTCGTAGGCTATAATTCCGGAATTTTCCTGTGGAATTCAAGGTGTTGATATTTGAAATCCGGATTAGAAAAACGGTCAAAGCTTAAAGCTTTTTGAAAGGCGAATGACAGTCAAAAAAAGGAAAATGGTTCAAGATATAATATTTCAAAATTTTGTTTTTGGTCGTTTTTCTATCCATTGCTTTAGCTGAAATATGCTGCGTACCATGTCTGTATGAGCTTTGATCTGAAAAAATAAAACTATTCCGCCCTATTTGTGAATACAATGCCAACTAGCAAAGACTCACTTCAGGGTAACCTTCCAGCATTTCCGGGAACAATTCTGCATAAGTTCCCACATGTTCAGCCAAGCACAGATCCGCCCAAGTCACCGAATCACCAACCAGGTAACCTGAATCAATAATTGTCTTTCACAAAAGGCAGCTTTCTTGGTGCTAATTCGCTGACCCGATTTACTATCATTCAGAAAATTCTTCATAAAACCAAACAATTTCGCGCGTTCGGGCAAAAATAATGTCTTCTTGAGAGTTTCCTGAAGAATATTCATAAAATAACGTCATCACATCACTACGTCCGTAAATGCACATGTGCCGAAGGTAGTGCGACAATAATTTCCCGCCACGCGACGCAAATACAGCCACAGTTTTTGACATTTTTAAACTCTTTTCCTTCATACGATTCGGTTGGCTGCTCAAAAGAGAGAGCGAGGTGTAAGGAAAAGCTCGTAAGGACGTATTTTTAGCCTGTTCGCGCGGATGGACGGGAATTCTATTACAAGGCGAGAAACTAGGATTGAACTACAGACGTGTAATTACGATTGCACTCTAACTTACCACATCACCATCTCCAACGCCAATTAGTAAAACTAAGAACGGTCTTGTCTCAAATAAATAGTCCCTAAACTGATCCACTATCGAATCTACTATCGCTTCCTCGAATGGTGTGTGACCAGCAAAGCCTGAAAGTACAGAATAATTTCGAGCTTCCAGAGCAAAGAAAAAGTTCTACTGACCAAATCGCCTTGCCAAAAAGCGACAAATTGTGTATGATCGAGCGATACGTTTCCCGTCCACTTCCAAAACTGGCAGTTGCTCGAACGGCATTTCTGCAAGAAGAATCATAACATGGCGATATAGTGAATACTACACGAGTAAAACCTCGTTTGAGTTTCGGCAAGATTGTCCAGCTAATGCGAAAAGCTGAAAAGGATCTCGGATCGCTTTTGCGAGACTTTCTTTGATACTACTTCATCATTTTACAAATGGCTCAGCGAAGGAGAGGGTGAAGTATAGGAGTTGCGAACGAAAATTGGTCACCTTTTTTGCGAAGTTCGCGTTTTGACATTCTCTGAGAGCCAATCCAGCGAAAAGCCATGTTGGAAATGTAGTAATGAAAATGCACTCACAAGCAACAATAATTTTTTTGGATAGAGGAGGGACAACAGGGATCTTTTTAGGGGGAGGCTATTTGAAAGCTCGGCAAAAACTAATGGAGCGGTGATGTTTTCAAAAACATTTTCTACGGAACTGATCAATTTTCAAAAATTTTACAAAATTTTCTAGAACAAAAAGATTTTGCTCGAGCATTTCACTTATGTGAATCTTTCTGAAGCGCTATCATACCGTCCTTGAAAAAATGGGATGGCCTCTTTTAATTACCTCCCCCTCCCCCCCCCTACCCTTTGAACCCCTTCCTGCGTTTGCCCCAACAGTGTGAAATACATTATAGAATCTGATGTGGCGAATAAACTACCTGTGCTACTTCAGCTATTGCCCTCGCATTGAAGTAGATGAGTTTATACTTTGTCTTATCGTTCCTAAATTTTCGAAATTACTGTAGTTAATTCAAAGTCAAATGGTCCAATAGGAAACTCTCACGAAGATAACATACGACGACAAAGTTTCAGCGCTTGTGTTCGGGTGCTGGTATTTGAGCGAGATGAGCATTTGAGGTTTTAGCTGAGATCACTGAAAAACAAACAAGAAAATACCACATATCGGTAACCATGCTAAAGCAAAAGACGAATAGGATCATCGAAGTCTCAGCAGGAAAGCAGGCAGAGAAGGGTTCAGTTTTTGTTTTCATGCATCATTCAGCGCTACATTGCACTGCGCGGACGATTTGGCACATTTACGACACATGGTTCGCTTCATCCAAGCATGTGAAGATATGATAAAAGATATGCATAATCTCAAACTAAATTGAAAGGGCAATACACCATCATTTGTATGCAGTTCGAACACGCAAACATTTCAAAAACAAAAGGTGTAGAAGAAAATTACTCCAACTTTGATTATTTGTGTAAGCTATTTGGAAATATAAAACTTGGACTACTCAGACAGTTGGAGCGAGCAGCGCGCGCGCAGTCACACGGTGGCGCAACACCCAGTGCGCGGGTGGCGGAACATTGGATGCCGCGCCGCTGGTGCTGGCACGCGGATGGCTGCATTTTTTCAGTTTTTCATTGCGCTGTATACCACAGGTCTTGATGACAAATTCCACTCTTCATACGCTAAAAAATATGAATTCTATTTGAATCCAAAAATTCAGATCCAGCATCCATTTGCAATGCTACAGAAGGCTAACGCTTGGAAGCAAAAAATAACTTCCACTTCTGCGCCTATCCATACTCTACGATGTAATATCTAACCTCTTGAATGATGAGGCAGCCTGACCACTGCGTCGTACACTGCGCGGGTATCCCTTGTGCTTACAACATGTGATAATTGCAGGCGCGCGGGCCGCACGGGTAGAGTATAAAGGCACGCGCGCGGCGTGCTACAAAATTAGGCGCGCGGGTGGCGAGATCGAACATAGACGTAGCGCGCGGGTCGCGTTGTTGGCCATTAATACGCGCGCCGCACGCACCAAATGTCTAGGATGGCACGCGTTTGGCGTAGTGCCGGACACGCCCACAAATAAGGCACGCGCTTTGCCGCATTGACCATAAACGCACGTGCGCCGCACGCTCCAACTATCTGAGTAGACAATGGAGCAATTGATAATATCTTTATGAACTGCTCTTTCTATCTGAGAAAATTTTGCGCTGATTGATCGTTTCTATCCAAGATTATAATTTTCGAGAAAAGTGCCAAAAAATCAAATACCCGTTTGTACTGTTTGCAAAAAAAAATCTATCTTTTTAACGAAAATTTCAATCAGTATAATTCTTGTTCACATGGAAAGCGCGGTAAAACTATAATACCAACTGTTCCGACTTTGGCGGTAACTTCGGATTTTCTCAACCCTACATAGGAAAATCATTCGCGGTTAATACAGCCTTCGGATCTTGATAGTACTAACAAAAGTGTGCTTCATGCAAGTATTTATTATATAAGAAGCCGAATATAGAAATTTGGTGAGCGCAGGTGAAAGATTTTTGCGAGTAATATTGCTATTTGCTTTCGTAAGTTTGGTTACTAATTAATGAGCTAAGTCAGGGAACATCAAAACAAGTTTTAGGTTCAATGAGCAGCTTGGACCATTTAAGTTTTATAAGCAAACATTTGCAAGAAATTCGCAAAGTTCCCAAAAACATAGCAAGAGGCAACGTCTGGTATTGTTTCTAACATCTAGATTCAATGTTTGTCTTGAATTTTCACAGGTGCAACAATTTTTATAGGAATTCTCATCTCTGGCTGTTGAAGTGATTAATATTAGGGTGATCCAAAAGTAATGGGGCAGCTAGAGAATAAATGCAGTTTTCTCAAATAGAAAAGCTAATCGGAAGTCCAAGTTTTGGCAGATGTTAGTACATAACAAAACCTTCTGATTGAGGTCTATAGTTGGGCCTGTCACATGGCGTTATTTTTACAAGCGCTTAAAATCGAAGCTCACCACTTCAAGTAATTTTGAACTTTGAGCAGCAGCGCCGCAGTAAAACAAGTGAGCCTACCAAAGATATGTGCGCAGCAATGGATGAGGGGACTGTCACCAAATCCAGAATAGCTCGATGGTCCCAAGGCTTTAGAACAGAAGATATAGCATTGAGTATCAGGAGACATATTACTTATTCTTTCATCAAGGTAATCAAATAAGTCCAAACTTAGCAGTTGCTTTCTGATAGTGCTTTTTACGCTCTATCCATACATATGCAAATTACTTCGACTTTTCTCATTTTCAAAAGATTGCGGTCCAAAACATGAATTTTAGTCTGAAAATCTGCGCCAAACATAGCACTTTTTCGATTAAAGTGCCTTTTTTGTATAAAATAATGGGCAATTTTTGGATATGCAAGTAATCATTAGAAAGAGCTTGGAAAGCTCTTTCGAATAGTATGCCATATGTGGAGAGACTATCAGGTGCAGCAGCCCAAATTCGGATGGCGTCCAAAAAAGTCTGTCTGACTTCTTTGAAGCGCCAGAAGAATTGTCGGTGAGGTGCTGCAAGATGCTGTCAAGATAACCCGCGAAGATCACTTTATACAAAGGCGTTAAAAATGCTAGGCGTTCATAGTTAATTAAAAAGAGATCTTGAAGAATGTTAAAAAAATCACGGTGCCCCATTACTTTTGGATCACCCTACAGGGTGTCCCAAAAAATGTGAACACTGTTTGATCGTTAATAACTCCCTTGCTCTCATACCTTTCGCCGAAGATAAAGTACCATTCTGTAGAGTGAGGTTCAACTTAGATTTACAGTATCGATTGAAACACCGATCGCTCTTCGTTATTGTAGGATTACGATAAAAACTTTCAACATGTGGAGCCGTCGTGAAATATGCCCTCTGATAAAAATTTTTTTCAAAAAATCTGAAAAGTCGTGTGCTGGGGTTTTCGGGCACGCTAATTCTAATACACAACTTTTTACGAGTGTTTTCCGCTTTTTTGACGGTGTAATTACATTTTTGACAAATGCTGGGATTTCACTTATCACGGTCTACTTGGGATAACTTTGAAAAGAAGCAACATAGGAAAGTGGAAATGTCATAATCGAAATCACCGGACTCCATTAGCATAGCATAAAACTTTTTGGCTTGCTTGGTTTTGTTCCGAGGCAGAATATGGCCTCCAACGGCCTAAAATCCTTGTCGAAGTTTCTACCGTAATCCTACAGTAATGAAGAGCGATCGGTGATTCGCTCCATACTGTAAATCTAAGTTGAACCTCGCTCCACAGAATGGTAGCACAAGCTTGGCGAAAGACACAAAAGCAAGGGTCAACGATCAAACAGTGTTCACATTTTTTTGGGACACCCTGTATATATCTGGTTTTTCAGTGTGCTATTTACTGCAGCGAACGACATTGACGAAAATTCGTTATTAATTAAATTGCAAAAGGCTATGAGATGGAAATAGAGGCGGGTAAGTAAGTACTCAAATTCATGAAAATTTCCTTTTTTTCCAGAAAAAAGTAATTACACAAGATATTGCACCAAATTTGTAGTTTGAATAACAAAAAATCGTTGGTCATTTTATATCGAGCTTGCCCTTTCTTGCGCTTATTCCCCTTCCTGATTCAAGAGACAAAAATGCATTTTTGCTTATTCTGGAGGCATTGGGCAGTCTTACAGGGGAAGGATACTTGGATGCCGTAGCCATTCATAATGATTTGTATACCAAAAAATGCGCTTTTGAATGCTGGTTCGTAGACTGTCTTTCATATCTGCGAAACGATAATCTGAATGGAGTTATGATTTTTTTTCATTAAAAAATTGCGTTCCTGCGGAGGGTCAAAATATCAATAAAAAAATTTTCTCTCCTTTCCAAATGCTGAGTATGATCCAGGTAGTCTAAATAAATATTACTACGTCTGAAATTTTCTTCAGTAGCATCAAACGGTAGGCTAGATCAAATCTGGTGATTTTTACTATCCAAAAGTAGGCTAAATTTTCAAGGAAAAAAGTTCATAACTTTCTTCAAAAGATCGTTTCGCAGATTTCGAGCACAGATTCAGAATCTGCATTTGAAGGCGCATTTTTTGGTATACAAATCATCAGGAATGGCCGCGGCATCCAACTATCCTTCCCTTGTTAGAAGTGAAGATACCCTTGATAATTTCTTGAGGCTCTTCAATTAGATGAAACTTTTTTTAGAGCAGTTGCAGTCCAGAAAAGATGCAATAATCTTATTTCGAATACTGGCCTGATAACAACTTCATTGATTTTCTATCAATCCGCCGGTAATATTATTACCTCCTCCTGCTCTTAGAATTTTTTGATATTCTCCTGAAGGTGCTCGTAAAATCACATCAAAGGATGCGCGAAGCAATAACATGATGTTAAGATTATTCCTGGCGCAACATTGCGCTAGATCAATGGGAAATACCGCGCCAGTGGTGCCAAGTGCGCTTAAGGGCGCAAATTTACAACCACTAGCTGTGGGATAGCCCTAATCAGGTCAAATTGGCAATTAGTATAAAAGGAAGGGAGAAGTGGCTAGGACCACATTTCTTCTCTTTTCTGCTCTAATATTCCTCTTCCCTCACTTCTCCCATGGACATTTCTTCACAAAAATCGGAACACTAACAGAAATTTTTTTACTCAAGTTATTCATGTATCCTACTGCAATTTATATATTTCCAGATTTTGTGGATCACGATAGTTCGATGAGCTAGCATTGCTCCCCTGGTTCTTGAAACTGACGAGCTACTGATAGATGGTCGTCGTAGAAATAGAAACAGACACAGCAGGACGATGGTTGAGCCAAATGCGGTATCAATGCACTGCTAGAGACTTTAGGTCAGAACAAACATTATCACACTTTTTTCTCTTCAACAGAATCTGAAAAAATTAGTGAAAAACTGGTTGCGAAGAATTTTAATCTTCTTCATTCTTTGTAGGGAGGTCGGAATGTCAAATCTTCACAAATTTTTCCGATGACTGCGGTAAACTAACGTCTTTTTCTGATTCAATCCTATCCAATAAAATACAGTAGAATCGTTCTAAACAGGATATTTCAGCTATTCAAAAACTCACCCACAAATCGCAACGCTTGGGCCAAATCTTTCACGGAATGGCAGCAGATACTGAAAGAGCGGACATTAAAACGGGTTAGAGCGCATTGCCTGGAGGAATTGGTAAGAATTAACTTTGTAAATCTCAAACTTATTATTGTCTACAAACCGTTTCAGATTATACCGGACAACCATTTGATTGAAAAGCAATGAATCGAATTACCTGCAAGTCCCATTCAGCAGGACTGCCAACTACTTATGCAGTTGCCAGTTGAATACTGACAGTCTGTCATGTCCGCTTCCGAAACTGCTCAATTCCGTAAACACCTTCATTTACCACTGATTGATCCATATTTTAATTCTTCGTTCTCACTTCTCCTTTCATCTGCTGAAAGTCTTTCAACAAGATTATTGATAGAGAAACCTTTTCTTCATAAAGATAATCCTTATTGATTATTTGCATGCATTGACATTTCTTTCCTATCATGGCGTAAAAACTCCTATCACATCGTTTTTTATGTAGCAAGTTTTGAATTCTTCATATATGCTTCTAAATTCTCGCATGATCTATTTGAATATTTTTTGCATATACTGAACTATTTGATTCGACTATTCGAGTTCTTCATATTTGCTTCGAAATTGTTGCATGATCCATTTGAATATTTTTCTATATATCGAACTATTTACTATTATAAGTGGGCTATTTTGTATTCACCTGTAACTATATCGTATTAAACTATCGATATTTCAAAATAACTGCATGATAATATTGAACTATTAGCAATATTAATTCAATTAACTATTGCCTTATTAATAATTGCATGATCTATACTGATATATAAACCACTATTATTATTGATCTATATTGATATTAACTATGTGAATGACTAACTATGAGTATGATTATTATTGACTCGTATTGATTCAAGTATGTTGAACTATTGCATGATCTCTGCGGAAATATTAAATCATAATTTATGGTAATTGATTGCATGACCTATTATCTTGAAATATTATTACAATTATATTGGAATATAGCGTGATCTCTACAGCTGACAGCTGTATTGTTATTACTATTTATTACTATGGTATGACTTATTTTTGCATATTTTGGTAATATCACCTGGTTTTATATGGTATTTGAGCAACTGTATCCCTTTATTGTTAGTTATACTGATTACATTTCCTATTTTATTGCAGCCATCTTCGCCCTGCTCTCTATCTCCTGATATTTTTGTCTATTTTGCATGCTCCTTGGCACTCAGTGCTCTATATTGGATATTATATTTGGTTATCTATTGTGTGACAGAAGCTGACTGTATCACATTATATTTGCCTATTTGACTATTTTACCTGAAGAATTTCTCAAGGAATGTCGCGTTCTTATAATGGATATCTTGCATGTGCTATATTGGTTTTTATTATACTGGTTCCTTTGCCAGTTCTATGATTATATTTAGATCAGTATATCAAATATTATATGCAATCATATCATTTATTATTGTCCATATATGTCTAATATTGCTATTATTATCAAACTGGTATTCTACCTTGTGTGCGCGCCTTACATTTTTCAATCTGTACCATCTATAACACTATCTTATGCATGGTTGATCATTGTACTTCCTTAAATGATTGTAAAAATTGTGTGAATTATTTACTTGTATTAAGTTGCATGAATAAAGCATGATTGTTCCTCCATCTTCTGGCAAGAAAAAAATCATTGAGCTGATTCTTCAGTTCATGAAAAAGGTAACTGAACGCAAATTCGCATTCATAGAGTCATATAGGGATAGAAATTTGAGAGATTGCTGTCAATGAATTGACATCGAATATTAGTTTGCTTCTTGCAGCGAATGTTTCATTTCCGTTGAATCTGCTTGAAAAAACGAGTATATCCTCACATCTGATAAATGATGACATGGACATCTTGAACAGATTAGATGTTTATAAGGGCTTACTATGGGGCCGCATCGTTAAAACTATCTCAAAATTCAGATCCACTCAAGAAAACCAAATGCCGTGAAGAGCTCAGTCCAATTTATCTAAAACCGCAGATTGCATTTAACCAGACTACAATTTGCAAAACTCTTCCCCTTCAACTTAGCTGTTGTCCTTCACCTTAGCTGACCCCACACCTAACGCCAGTTACGGCCAAAATAATTATTATCTGGCAATAGGGCCGTTGGGTTGAGCTTGATGTCAGTTGATGTAGGATGATCACGGGTTTTGCAAAGAGTAAATGTAATTTTAGATTGAGCGAAAAAAAGAAATGTAGTTAAATTTCTCATATCCGCTTACAGGAGTGCTATTTGAAAGAAAAAACTATGTAACTATCATTTCCTTAGGCGGTGACACCGACGTCCATTCCCCTGGTTCAATGCATTTCTTAATTTTACGCATAAACAATAGGAGAACTTCTTAGCCTGTCATAATGTACTCCAAATAAGAAATCTGCATCACTGCCATAAAGTTTAGGTGAGGCGAGATCAGGTTCACTCACATTCACTGTAGTTCTTGTGAGAACTTAAAGGATAGTTGAGCAGAATTCTTGTATCAATACGATAACAGGACACGGAGTGAGAAAAAAAAAACATAAGAGATTCGAACAATTTTTTTTTTGAAGAAGTTCTGCATGCAGTGGTTTCGTCCTGGTCTTTCTGTGGCGGAATTCAACCAAAACTCTTTTCTTGCAAGTGGATTTTGGATTTTGTTTTCATGTTACCTTGAATCTACAGCTCTCAAAAAACCAACACCCGACCTTTCAAAGGCAGTGGCTCGAAAAAGTTTCAACTGCGCGCTTTCTGTTCCTCGCTGGCCTTCTGGATGCGTTTAGACCAAACCTGCGCTTCAAAAATCAAAATAGTGCTTTTTATGGCGTCTCCGGCCTTAGAGATTGCTGAGAAGGCTGGAGCGGAGATTCCCGCCAACAACAGGGACTGGCTCAGGAGACTGTAACACCACTCACTTTGGCGGCAATTGGCTGATTGGTCCAGGCAGCCAATCGCGACTCGGCTAGGGAATCTCCACTTCAGCCTCCTCAGCACTCTCCAGGGCCGGGGAACGCCATAAAAAGCACCTTGACTTTTTAAGAACAGCTCTAGATCAAAGGCACCCAGAAGGCCAGGAGGAAAAGAAAGCGCGCAGCTACAACTTTTCCGAGCCAATGCCTCTAAAGATCATTAGCGGTTATGAAGCCGAACTTCCCCGCGGTTGATATACCACAATCTGTCTTTTCCATCCGGTTCCACGCCATTGATGTAATTATTCTGAGTGATATATTTCCTTTTTGGAAACACCTGTAGAAACCTTTCAGAAAAGCTATACATTTACTGCGTACACAAAAGATATGCTAGGCCAAAGAAAGCAGAATTTCTATAACAGCATAAAATGTGTTAGTGCGTCAGAAGTTTTCTTAGACAAAATCACAATAGAAATTGAAATGCATATTTGTGGCTTTCACAGTTCGAGTTGTGTAGCACGAATTGAAATGTCAAAGACAAGCGGAGAAAGCACAAAGAGTACCATCGTATGATTTTGAGTCAGATAATGTGTCAAAAGGATAGAGAATACATAAAAGCGGGCATATTCCTATAATCAGTCATCTCCATACATAATAAAATAAATAGATACGTTGGTCGCAAAATTGGTAAGCTCTTATAAATAAATGAGTAACAAGCAATAAAAGCACATAAAACTTTTCTGATGAAATTTTTGGTGGGATTATGCAAGCTTGGCAAACGAGTAAACAAAGAGAGAAAGTTAGCACTACTACCACTTACAAGCTCACAAAAATTTACTCACAAGGAAGAGTTCCTAAGTCAGCTCGGTCAACCCGGATATGTCATACCACCGTAACGGGCTTGAGATGCTGATTCCAACTCTGCTTTTTTTCTGCGAAACGAGTCTACGAAAGAAGTTATGAGGGTGCGAAACTTTGAATTTGTCATTTTTGAAGTGGCTTATAAAAATAGCGAAAAGCTTTAAAACAACATTTAGCGAACTTCCAGTGGCTGTTTCCCGTCCTTGTAGTCAGTATACTTGATACAAAACTGAAATTCCATTTCTACGTGATACTGTACAGCTTTCGCCAGTTTTACGCAACTTAAGACTTGACAAATTCGGACTTTCAAACGCTGTTAACTTCTTTTGTAGAGTTGTTCCGCGGAAACCAAAAGCAGATTTGGAATACGCGTTTCATGCCCGTTACGGCGATACATGACTCATCCGGGTTGGTCGAGCTGACTTGGGAACTATTCCTGTTCAGATTTGTGCATAAGAATGCTATGCAGGTTCAGTGCCGTTCCAGCACCGCGCCAACGTTGTTTTACCGCCATGCTAGCACCGTGCCACCGCCCGCATAGATCACCTCGTATTGATCGACCGGCGCGCTGGCACGGCTCTGGCATGAAAAACTCTGGGCTGGTGTGCTTGATAGGACCAGTTGATGCTGATATCATTTTCCTAAACCGTCAAGTAATCTCAGGATCTTACTGTAAATACAAGGCCATGATATTTGAAAACCAGAATAACACAGCGCCTAGAACTTAAAGCTCAAAGAGCGAGCGAGTAAGAAATGAAAAATCCATTGAAGTACATAAAACATCTTCAAAATTTGGTTTTTGGTCGTTTTTCTATCCATTGCTTCAGCTGAGGTATGCTGCGTACCATGTCTGTGTGAGCTTTGATCTAAAGGAACTAGTTTTGCGTCATTTCTGAACATAATGCTGACTAGCGAAAACCCACTTCAGGGTAACCTTCCAACATTTCCGGAAACAATTCTGCATAAGTTCCCACATGTTCAGCTAAGCAAAGATCTGCCCAAGTCACCGAATCACCGACCAGGTAACCTAAATCAATAATTGTCTTTCACAAAAGGCAGCTCGTGCCAATTCGCTGACCGGATTTACTATCATTCAGAAATTTCTTCATAAAGCCAAACAATTTCGCGCGTTCGGGCAAAAATAATGTCTTCTTGAGAGTTTCCTGAAGAAATTGTCATAAAATAACGTCATCACATCACTACGTCCGTAAATACACATGTGCCGAAGGTAGTGCGACAATAATTTCGCGCAACGCGACGCAAACACAATCACAGTTTTTTGACTTTTTTACTCTTTTCCTCCATAAATACGATTCGGTCCGCTGCTCAATAGAGAGAGAGAGAGCAAGGTGTAAGGAAATGCTCGTAAAGACGTATTTTTTGGTCTGTTCGCTTCCCATCTGCGATCACGCGCGGTCGCGACGCGGATGAGCGGGAATTCTATTACTAGGCAAGACTAGGATTAAACTACAGACATGTGATTACGATTGTACTCTAACTTACCACATCACCATCTCCAACGCCAATTAGTAAAACTAAGAACGGTCTTGTCTCAAATAAATAGTCCCTAAACTGATCCACTATCGAATCTACTATCGCTTCCTCAAATGGTGTTTGACCAGCAAAGCCTGAAAGTGCAAAATAATTTCGAGGTTGTAGGAAAAAGAAAAAGTTCTATTGACCAAATCGCCTTGCCAAAAAGCGACAAATTGTATATGATTGAGCGATACGTTTCCCGTCCACTTCCAAAACTGGCAGTTGCTCGAACGGCATTTCTGCAACCAAGGCATATTAGATGGAGTCTCGTAATTTTGACTTTGGTATAGTGCTCTTGGGTTGCCAATAATATTTGCTAAACAACGATGTCCTTTTTGCTGGCCACTTTTTAGCGCAAGTCACAAGCAAATTGACGGTATCACAAGCACTGAATTATTGTCGCGCAAACTTGTCGTCACCGCAAAGACACTATCCAATACATCAAATTCAGTAGACTATATTTATGTTAGTTCGTGGACAAATTATAACCTCGTTTGAGTTTCGGCCATTCCTTCGGATTTACTCGAACATCTTCAAAAGGTTGCCCAGCTAATGCGAAAAGCTGAAAAGGTCTTCGTCACTTATGTGAGAGTTGCTACTTTCTGCAGTTTTACTTCATCCTTTTTCAAATGGCTCAGCAGGGAGGGGGAGGGGGAAGAGTGAAGATGCGAAGGAAAACACGTCCCTCTTTGAGGGAGGAAGTCTGCGTTTTGACATTCTCTTGGAGCCAAATCAGCGAAAAGGCCAATGATTCATTGAAAATGTAGTATTTGGAAATGCACTCATAAGCAACAATAATTTCTCTGAGTAGGGAGGGACAACAGGGATTTTTTTAGGAGGGGGGGTCTACTTGAAAGCTCGAAACAAACATTTTTTACAAAACTGATCAGATTTTATTTTACACGATATTGCTCGAGCTTTTTACTTATGTGAACCATTTTCTGAAGTTAGAACCATCATACGGGTTCCTGAAAGATGACCTCTTTCCACTCTCTTCCCACACCCCTCCCCCCCCCCCCCCTCCTTATAGCCATTCCTGCGTTTGTTCCCGATAATGTGAAGTATACTTGATTCGTTGACCGCATGGACTAGACATCACTAAGGAGCACGCGCCGCGAGGTAAATAGCTTGCCCCAGTACAAATTCGCCATTGTACAAATCGTGCTCTCGCGACAATTCAGCCGCTCCACGAGTGCTCCGCAGCGTTTGAGCAGTCCGTGCGGTCAACGAAACGACGATACATCATAGAATCTGATATGGCGGATAAACATACCTGTCGTGCTACTTCAGCTATTGCCCTCGCATTGAAGTAGATGAGTTTATATTTCGTCTTATCGCTTCTAAATTTTTGAAATTACTGTAGTTAACTTGAAGTCAAATGGAATAGGAAACTCTCACGAAGATAACATACGACGACAAAGTTTCAGCACTTGCGTCCGAGTGCTGGTATTTGAGCGCAGAAATGTCGAGATGAGCATTTGAGGTTTTAGCTGAGATCACTGAAAAACAAGAAAACACCACATATCGGTAACCATGCTAAAGCAAAATACGAATAGGATCAGCGAAGTTTCAGCAGGAAAGCAGGCAGAAAAGGGTTCCGTTTTTGTTTTCATGCATCATTCAACGCTACATTGCACTGCGCGGACAATTTGGCACATTTACGACACATCGTTCGATTCATCCAGGCATGTGAAATTGAAGTATCAGGCTGTAACATAGGTCTTGAGACACTCCAACTTTATACGGCGATAAGTCGTACACCACATTTTCAATAGGGGTCCACGGCAGCATTCGATAGAGCAAAGCAAACTCTACAAAATGTTTTGCAAAAAGTTCGCATAAACTTCGAACCGCCGATTTTGTGTCTAAATCTGAGTCGTGGTGAAGGCTCAAAAAAGAGGAAAATTTTTATCTTTGTTCAAAAGAAAATCCTACGAATCTCCAACTTGTTCTTTAAGAATTGCACACTACATCAGACACTCATATGTACCTATGCATCTCTATTTTTTCATCTAAAAAATGAGAAAACGAAAATGTTTTTGAATACAAAAACGAAGCTATGCTGTTTCCACTCAAGTAATTGCTCCCTACAATCTCTTAGAAGTATGGCCGTAAATTTTCAGCTTTCTACAAGCCTTAGTTTCCGAGAAATATTGATTTTAGCATGCAACACCCGAGCGAGGCCGAGCTAAGTTCGGTATCGAAAACTAGGGCCTGGAGAAAACTGAATATCTACGGTTGTGCTCCTATGGCTTATAGTATACAGTTGCATGAGTGAAAACAGCATAACCCCGTTTTTGTATAAACATGAAAATTTTCGTTTTCTCGGTTTCTGAATGAGAAAAAAAATCCAGGAAGGTACATGTGAGTGTTTGACGTAGTGCGCAATTTTTATGAGCAAGTTGGAGATTCGTAGGATTTTTTCAAACAAAAATATGAATTTCTCGCAATTTTTTAAGCCTTCAATACGACTCAGGTTTTGGATGCAAACTTAGAGTGGTTCGACTGGTGCGATCTTTTGCGAGAAATCTTGTAGAGCTTGCTTCCCTCTATCGAATGATGCCTTGGACCCCTATTGAAAATGCAAGCTGACTTATCGCCGTAAGAACCTAACTGTCTTAAGATTTATGGTGTTACAACCTAATATTTCTTGCCATATTTTTTGACACTCTGATGACTAATATGATCTCATGTACACCTCCGCCACGATGGCAAGGTTGAAAATGCAGATTCATTCGAGAAAAAAACGATTAATGACTTCAAGATTGCATGCGCGTTGCGAAGCCGGTTAGCACATTGATGACCGTTTGACACACATTGTGTGTCAGAACTTGAACTTCGAAATGACGAATATCTTGGTACAAATTCCTTCCAGAAGTTTTCTTTTGCTGTGAAATTAGAAATGACCTCTGTCTTCTTTGTCAGCCTTCCACAGTTACTGTAGGTATACTGCAAATGGCAGTATGCGTAATTTTCTCCAAAAAATGCTGAATGTTCAGTAAAAGGTCTTGGTGTCAAAAGGCTGACAATCAAATACTTTGCCGTCAATGGGTTGATCTACAAGATTTCACGGAGCACCTATTTTGTATTCAGATTACATTAAATCTCCTTCGAGCGCATGTTACACAGTTTTGTGTGCCGAACCTTAGCCTTTGATGTGAAATGATATAATAGTGAATGCAAAAAATATGAGTCAAGGATTAGTGGTTTTGGATATTTGAAGTGACTTACAAAGCTCGCCCTCCATCTCTTCGAGTCATTCGTAACGTAATATGTGAGCCTGCACACAACGCGCAGCGACCGGCAGCATTTTTATTAGTAACTTCTCAGTAAAGCCTTTTATTGCGTAACAAACAGTGAAACTGTGCAAAATTATGTAAAACACCTCCAGCTGAAAAAGAGACAAAGAAACAAAAAAGTCATCAGAAATGGCAGATTTTGATCTTACAAGTTTGTCGAGTAGCGTGCATGGTGTGTAGTGCATATCAAGTTACAAATGACAGTATATACAGTAATGACAGTACAGTATATATTCTGAGATTTTGACAGAATTAATCCATGCGTTAATATGTTCGCGGAGATGCCCAGCTTTGTTTTGGCTTGCTCTACACCTACAGTATCCCACTAAACCTCTACTCCTTTTAGTCGAAAACATGAGATTTGCTGAGGCTGGGTTCATACTGATCCCGAAGTTCCGAAACAGTTCAAGCAGAGTTCTCGCACTGTGCTGGAACTGTGCCGGCACTGTGCTGCATGCGCTGCAGCCGCTCGCATGCGGTTTTGAGCTGCGTGAAACAACAATATTTGACTTTCTTCAACGGTCTGCACAGTAAATTTTGCTCTTTCCCACCTCATTCTTGTGTCTCGCTTTCTCCTTGTAATTGAAAGTTGCAGACTTGGAGAGGGGTACAGGAATGCGCGCGATTTTGCTTTGTGTCTCAGCTGAAAATTGTCACAAACTGATGCCGCTTCCATTCGTGTACATATCTTCAAGTTCGGAGGTTTTTCATCAGAAACGGAACGGTTGTCCAGAACGAAAGGGCAAGCAGTAAAAGTTTTAAAGATAAATGGTCCTGAAACGCTAAAACTCAATATCATGAAAACACATAGAAAAAATTGCGATTTCCGCAAACTTAAAGGCAGTGTCTCACCAAAATTTAGTTGCCGAGTTTTTTGCATTTTGCAAGCCTGTTGGACCCTGGCTAGCACTGTATGGGCCAAAAATCGCACGAAGTTCCCAAAAACCCCGTTTTCTGGAGGCCCCGCGGAAGCAACGTGGACGAGTTGTACCTCCCAACTTCAGCCTCAGCCACAGTGGCAGCAACACAAGGGAGGTGGATGCCAAGTGGAGGGACATGTTCAAACGCGTAAGGGGGGAGACCGAAGGAGTCGTCCGCGCGTACCAAGTCGCTCTCCGCGTACCGCTTTGAGCGAATTTTTTTCAGCGTGGAGGGGGTCAAATTGAGTGGGACTTGTTGCAATGGTCTATTTAGACCTCCCTATTACAGAATATGTGAAGATCCGCGCGACCTCAACTTTGGTGAGACACTGCCTTTAATGGTTTATCACTCCTCTCTGAAGTAGGGGGCGGAAAGGAAAGTATATACACGCAAGATATGACATAAACAAAGTCTCACTCTCGAGCCTCGCTATAATTTCGTAATTCTCTACATCACAAGAAGAAGCAAGATGCGAGAATGAGACCAAAATGGGCGGAGTTTGCAATTGAAAGCGTTGATGAAAAGCGAAAATTTCTATTTCGCGCCGCTCAGAACCGCATGCGGATGGCTGCAGCGCATGCAGCACAATTCCGGTGCAGTTCCCGCACTGTGCTGGAACTGCACAGTTCCAGCACAGTGCGGGAACTGTGCTGGAACTGTTTCGGAACTCCGGGATCAGTATGAAGCCTAAGAGACTTATGAAAAGGTGGGGACAAAGTCGTACGACTCATCGCTAGGATGCTTATAGTGATTGTGTCAGGGACGCATGCACAACGGATAGAGGAATAGCACGACGGATAAAGAAAGGCTAAAGTTTGCCCAACCTTGAGTCTCATGGCAAGAACGCTGCTTTAGCTTCTAGCGAGCAGTTTCGCGAACGTTCTCAAGCTATTATTACCACATTCCAAACGAGTCAAACACGTTGTTTCCGACAGCGCAGGTATCCTACGGACATGTTAAATCGTATTATACCAGTTGTTGCAGGAATGAACGATACTGCTAGTGTTCACATGCTGCTTAGGTAGGAAGCGACTGGAGAACGTTGTGCATACCTATGCTTCACATGTTTGTACCCTTTAAACTGGCTTGGGGGCTGGAAGGCGGGGCTTCGTGACCTAATTAAGACGAAGTAATGATCAGAGAGCAAGCGCGCGGAAGACGCGCAGAGTGCGTCGCGGACGCGAGCGGCCTTCACTAGGTCACAAAGCATCGCCCTCCAGCCGCCACCTGTGCAATTAAACGTTACTTGCAAGCTATCTTAGCTTGAATGTTTTACTACTTGAAATTAGGGAAGAACAAGTTTAATTCCTTCAATATTTTCGAACCCTTCTGAACTTGCGGACCGGAGTCCCCAAAGTTCATAAAAATACGAAAATTGGCATTTTTAAAGCTTTTCTCCGATCAGAGGATGCTAAAGGAGTCTTAAAAATCACAGATTGGTCCTGGGCTTCCAACCGTTAGTTCTGAATGTGCTCACCGTTTGCAGTCAGCTAGCAATAAGATGAGTGAAGCTTTTGTGAACTCCACTTTCTGAATTTATGAGCTTCGCTGGTCACGGCAGTCCTGCGCCCAATCAGCATAATTCAAACTTGGAAATGTCCCAAGGAACTTTTTGCCATTCTTGCGTCACAACACTCAATAGCAATTTAGACAAAGAGGGTTCCAAGGATGGGAATGTGCTTTTTCCTTCGCAACATTGTCAAAAGAGACGGCGCCCCGCTACTGCTAAATTTGGACCGCTATCAACATACAAATTTCTGGAAACCTCGGATCTTTTGTGGATGTGATAGTTATACATTCAGGACTTTAGGATTCACGGGGTCGTAGATTTCTGGCCATAGCGGAAATGTGTAAAATACAGGAATATACAGGGTGTCCGTAAAGTATGTATACACTGTTTGATCGTCAATATCTTTCTACCCAACAAGTCTTGTGCCTTGCTTCAGGTACCGTTTTGTAGAGCTGGCTCCAACTTAGATTTGCGGTATAGAACGAATCATCGATCTCTCTTCATTACTGTAGGATTACGGTAGAAACTTGAAACATATGGTGTCAATGTGGAAAAAGCTGCCATTTCAAAATTTTTCAAAAAAATGTGAAAATTTGTGTAATAGGGTTTTCATGGACGCTGAGTTCAATACTCAACTATTTACAAGACTGCGAAGCTTTCTAAACGGTGTAACCGCACTTTTTAGGAACATTGAAAAAATGGCCGCTACCTCTTATCCGGCATAACTCTTCAACGAAGCATCATAATAAGTTGGGGACTTTACAATTAGAG